ATTCGAGAATTTTTGTATAACCTATACATTCGGGTTTTGCTATCCACACCCAGTTAATGCACATATACTGCTGACATAACATTCAATGGTTTTTAAAGATAATAAAGTTAAACAAAAAGTACACATGATCACGTCTAAGTTTATATAGAAACGAAATTCTAACGTAACAGTAATTTAACTTAAATAATTCACACTTGGCTGAATGCAAAATATAGGTACGTAATTAGACATTAATTAAGATACCACTGCAATTAGTAGGGCTTGACGACTACCCGCTTAGGACGGCCTCAGAGAAATTAACCTTAAGGCACACCCCTACTGTAAAACAAGAAGAGAAAGATGTGTATCTTATTTAAACGCAGAGATAATATATGTACAAAATAAAATAAAAGAAAAAAAATTTAATGTCTATTTTAGTAGATATTGTAAGTTTATTAGTATATAGTAATATAGTAAGATATGCACAGAGTAATAAAAAACGGGGTATATCAACATAATAGGATTATTAGAGTATTATATTATCTGTGACAATACAACGACAACACATAAGAATAGAAGAAGCAAAAGTATATATGTATTCATCCCTTTTTAACGTCCAACTGCTGAGCACGGGCCTCCCTTCAGTACGAGGGGGATTCAAACCATAGTCCACCACGCTGGCCAAGTGCGGGTTAGCGGATTTAACATGTCTTTTGAAAACTTGCTAGGTTCTCTCAGACATACAGGTTTCCTCACGTTGTTTTCCTTTGCCGTTAAGACAAGTGGTAATCATGTTTGAAATGATTCACACATGAAAATATCAGAGGTGCGAGACCCGGGATTTGAACTCGCTTCACTCGGTTTCCCAAGCGAGCGCGCTATCACTGTGCTAACACTGCCTACAAATGTATATATAATAATAATAAAAAGTACCTATATATAATCACAACAAAAAATAGGCATTATTCAAAATATTATGCATAAATACTAAACAGTTTCACTAAAACAGTCTACTAAACTATATTTTTCGATTATTTTGAGTATACCATTGAATAAGCTAACATTATATACCTTTCATGTCAAATTGATCAATCAAGTACTATTCATCACAACATTACATCTGAAAACTAGCAGCAGATAGAGGCTCTGTCCATATATTTATTTATTTTTTATATATTTATTTGGCTCAAGCTGTACCTTTAGACTTGTAGCCTGTTGGATTAATATATATTCGAAGTTTTATAAAAATGCTGACATAACACTTTCCAACCATTGAAGAATTAAACTCATTTTGGATTATGCGTCACTAGAGAATCAAACAGACAGAAAAACAGTCGAGAAATTGTTAATGTAATAATTTCTTAGGCTTAAGCGGACATTTAAAATTGAACTAAAACTATTTTTTTATTATTATTTACTAAGGAATTAAGAAAATAAAAGACCAAAAAATTTCATTTCAATCATTAATTTTCTTTTTCTTTTGCATGTCTAACATCGCCATATACCATTTTTTGTTAATATTTCATTAAAATACCAAACACTTGTCATATTATCTGTGCTCATAAAATAAAATATAATATACCTAGTAAAAGACACGCTGTCAATTTAGTTGGTAGATAATAAAATAAGAGACCAAGTTGACCCGATACTACCAAAATAAACTTGACAAGCTCAATTAATTACGTTAGAGAACGGTAGGGGGCTTACCAACAAATTATGTGGTTTACAAAAGGGTGTGTATCGATTATTCTTTACATTTGGACTGCCTTATTTACATAATTTGTATTTTCTGCTAATTGAGCATTGTATAAAGTTCTTAATTAAATTACTTAAGAAAAGTACTATATTTTTAGAAATAAAATGGTTAAAAATGGATTTTTTAAAGTAAGATGAAGTGCACCAATAAAAAAATATGACAACCGATTTCGGTTTTTGTACCATGTGTTGTAATAATAATATTTTGCATCCTGTTCATTAGAAAAATAAAATGGTTAATTAAATTATATTCTTGGTAAAGCTGTCTAAGATTAATGAAATAAAACATCCAACCACAATCGAATAAAGTTATATAGTATGTAGTATAATTTGCAAGACTTTAACATTAGACAGACATGGTGTTTCGTACATTTCCATATATGATAAATTAAAAACAACGGTATATTGGAACGAGTACACGAGAAAAAATTGTTCACTTCACTCTAAACTGATCACTGATCTAAGCCTTGAACATTGATTATTTTTGATTACACATCGTCGCAAAATTAGTACCGCCAATTTGTATCTAAAAGAAAGTAGCCATTCAAAGGTAAGTAGTCGCGAATTCACTCGGGTAATCAAAAAAGACGAAAACAGTAAGCACGTTTGAAGAAGGTTTTTCGGATGTCGACTTTATCCATAATTCATGGGGTTTCCCTTAAGGAATAGACAGTTAGACGTTACTGAGATCACCGACAGAACTTCTATTCAATTGGGATTAATACAGCACTGAAAATAAAGACACTGTCGTGGGTCCGGGTTATTTGGTCATATGAGAATTATAAAAATCAAGCCTGTGCAACAAATGAAATTTCTAATAAAACTAGAAATTGTCTTCGTATTAAACTGTTTAAAATAAATTAGAAGTTAAAATATATAAATAAATAATTAATAAATATGTCAGGACATTAACACACAACACCATCTAGTTCCATGGTAAGCTACAAGGCTTGTGTTATGGATACCAGATAGTTAATACATTATACATATATAACTTTAAATACATACATATTATAAATATAAACACCCATAACTGGAGTACAAACAGTCGTGCTCATCACACAAATGAATGCCCCCAGCAGGACTCGAACTGCGACCGCTGGCGCAGCAAGTAGGGTCACTACAAACTGTGCCAAGCGTGTCTACTTAGTTTGTTGAAAAATAACGTTTTTGTTGCTCTTATCGATGAGCATAACAGCAATGAGCAAGTTTGAAATTGTAAAAGTTGACACCCTGATCTTGGTAATACTAATCACAAACTTAATACTTATAGGGCATAATGTGATAACTGTGGCATAGTGTGAAATATGTCACGCGGAAGCTGCTTCTACACAGATTCGATGCACACACGGCTAATGACAGGATTAATACTAAGAACGTTACGTCGTCGTTACAAACATAAACTGACGTTAAAAAGTGTCGCCGAGTTATTAAATTTTATTGATGTAAAGTAAAGATTTAAGTTTGACTTGATTCTCTGGATACCCTTTGAGCAAAACTTACGTAAACACCTTAATTTAATTTTTATTTTATTTTTTTATTGTATTATTGTATTCTTTTTGTTAATTATATACAATATACATAATAAGATATATAATAATAATCTTAACACCTCCAGGTAAATTTCTAAGAAATTAATTAAACTTCTTAGAAATCTGTTGTTAATTGTAACGCCGGCGTGTCCGCTGTCGTAGAGGGATTAAGAATTCTATATTTCTAAAAATGGCAGCTTTATCTTAATTGCAATAGACATCTGTTTGATTCGACTGTGAGCCGCCCAAACTCTTTGCCTGGGGCGAAAATAAATCTTGCAAGATACAAGAACGCCGCCTGCACAGTAACTGAAAATCAACATTGCCACAGCGACCCTTGTTTGTCCATTAGCTTGCCGCGAACTGAACAAACACAAAGCGATTCGTTGCCAAAGATTCCATTGTTACTAACGCTTTGTCACTTTTCATTTTTCCTGGTTTATTTTCTATTTGATTTAGAGTCAATTTAGACAAAAATACACTTAAGCTGCAAATCCTGAATAGTTAAATGCTCAATATATCTAAATTCGCTATTCGATACTCGATTTAAAGGTTTTGTTACGTAATCCAGATAGAAACATCTACAAAGGATCATAATTATTAAGAAGAAGAAAAGTTTTATCAAGTACCTACATCATATTATAATCAGCCCTTTTTAACATCCCACTGCTGGGCGCGGGCCTCCCTTCAGTGCGAGGGGAATCAGGCCATAGTCCACCACGCTGGCCAAGTGCGGGTTGGCGGACTTCACGTTTCTTGTGAAAACTTGCTAAGTTCTCTCAGACATACAGGTTTTCTCACGATGTTCTCTTTCACCGTTACGGCAAGTGGTAATCATGTTGGAAATGATTCGCACATGAAAATATCAGAAGTGCGAGACCCGGGATTTGAACCCGCTTCACTCGGTTTCCCAAGCGAGCGCGTTACCACTAGGCTACCACGGCCTTTTTTTCTACATCATTTATAACATAATATAATATGGCCCATTATAAGAAATGCTAAATATTTTTAAAATGTAAAAATAAAAATTTAAAGGTATTTAAATCTGTTAAGTGCGCCCTGACTAAAAAACGAAAAATGTCACCTTTAACCGTTTTGGAATTTAAAGACAAGACAAGACGTGTGTCGTGTGACGCATTGCTGACCACACGTTATACGTATTATTAGTAAATAATATATCTATCTACAACCCTGTTATCAATGAGGAATGTATGAGTTCACTTATCTCAGTGAGGGCAAATCTAAAATCTGAAAAGTATTACAATAAAAAATATATTAGGTAAATAAAATAGAAAAATAAACATAATAGAGAAAGTACTTCACTCATAATTTAAATTTAAAGGAAAATATAACACCTAAAAAACTAAAAAGGACAAAAGTTTATTTTTTATTATTTATATTTAATATATTATTATATATTTTTTAATTTGAAATACAACAAATAATTTTGGCGTAAAAATAAAATACTTAATGATTACCCAGAGTGTTTTAATTAAGTAATAATTTAATTTAATTAATAATATATGTGTTAATAAAGAAATTATTAAAACAACCTATTTGATGTATACTGAAATGACATGAAATTCATCTGTAAAGTTTATGACAGAAACCTATATAGACATTTATAAAAATAGCTTTTTACAGACATTTACTTGAGTATTTCTATTTTTGTTAGCCATCACATAAAAATAATCATAAATATATATTTTGTACGAGAACAAATACTAATAAAGCATGTTGGAGAAAAAGCCTGAAATAATAAATTTTGCTGATATGGACTTTAGCAATCCTCTAGTTTTGAAAAATTCACCATTTCGGTTTCGAAGAATTCCAGTAATTGTAACTATAGGTTATTATTATATTGGGCATTATAATAAACTTAATGCGTTATATCATCATTTAAATAATTTGCAATATAAATGCTTGTTTTTGAAACTGGAATAAATTTAAAAGAACACATTTACCCTCATTTTTAAAAATTCCAAATAATTTTCCTTCCACCTCAATCTTGCTACGTTTTTCTACATTGTATTTTTATTTTTTATTATTATTAATGAAGAAATAAAATATAAAAATTGTCTAAATTTTGCCTGAACTAAAGTTTGGCAGAAAAGTATGTTTCTTAATTTTGCACCAAATTTGGATTTATAGCTCATTTAACAATAACTGTAAATCTCAAATTGTTCAAAATCTTCAAAATGTTACACCAGATTTTTAGGGACTGTTACTATGACCGACTTTACATCGTTATTATAGTATACAAGTATTCATTTATGAATACATATAATTATAAATATAAGTAAAACATATTATCACCAATTAACAAAAAAAACTGCCAAATGTATAAGATACGACTATGTTGTGTAAAATATATTTATTCGACTTAATTAATTTGATTATTTCTAGCGAACTCCGAAATAACTGAAGTTGATGTACAAAAGATGTTAGAAGCAGGTATGAACGTAGCCAAGTTCAAATTGTCAAGCAGCAGCAGAGGGGATAAGATTCGATTACTTGCTAAATTAGAAAAAGCAATTTTAGCATGCTGTGCTAAATACAGCGTCACGCATTGGCCTATAGCAACGTGTATAGAATTGAAAACTTGTATCGTAAAGACTGGATTGTTAGATGGAGTACGTTTTATTTGTTGCTAGTGACTCCCCAACACTGCTAAGTAACATAATAAATATTTGTAACAGACATATATCTCGTGGGAACTACTTCATGTGTTAATAAGTAACCTTATATTTAAACTACTCCTATACTAATATTATAAAGAGGCAGAATTTCTTTGTTTAAACGTGCTAATCTCAGGAACTACTAATCCGATTTGATTATTTTTTTTGCATTAGATAGCGCTTTTATTAAGGAAGGCTATAGGCTATATATAATCATGCCACCACCCACCACCACCATCCAAGAGAGCGGAGCAGTAATCATAAATGTCAACAAATCTGGCAGAATTTTATTCATTATTTTAAAACTGATATTTATAATCAAATAAAATTAACGCTTGTGAAACTACGGGCACTGCTAGTCGGTGCTAAAACAAAATCACATCTCTGTTACTTCCTGATTTTTTTTATTGGTGAGGTGGTAACTTTAATCAAGTTCAAGTTTTTTCACTGAAACCGCCGCTTGAACTCGTTTGGCCCAAAATGAACTAAGCATTTTATTTAAAAAAAGGTACTATTTTAATTATTGTCTAAAACACGATGTACGGCGTTGAGAACGGTCATTTAGTATACACTATCCTAAGAGAAACGGAAAACGAAAAGCGTAATAAGGTACTCATAAATATTAGTAATAATTGTACTATAAACATAATAATATATTTCAGGATAAAGAATCTATTCTGCTTACAAAAAAATCAAATGTTATTTTGACATATAACATAAAATACTTTAATAAATGTAGTGCTGAAATAATTTTTGTTGATAATCACTTTTTGCTTACTGATGTGAAAGCTGGAACAGAGATTTCGATAGCCGCCGATGAAATAATTGTAAAATGCATAGGAACCACCGACGAGAAGTCAATTAAATGTGTTGTTATAAAAGGAGGAATGCTAACAAATCTAAGTAACGTCTGCACACGCCACATAAAGCATTCAAGACCATTGATAACCAAAAAAGATATAGAAATCATAAAATTTGCGTTGGAATATCAAGTACTTAATATTTTAATCTTTCGTATTACAACCAATGACTTTTTTATATATAATGTAAATATATCTCATGTAAAATTCGTTTGATTTCAGTTAGATACTATAATTATCAATTATGTGCGTCACCCAGACACAATTAGGAAAATTAAACATTTCATCAAAACACAAAACACTAGAAGACCATTTTTAATGTGTGGAATATGCACAGAAGAAGGACTTGAAAATATTGATGACATAATAAAAGTATGTATATCATAAATAATTACTTATGTTTAATAATATTGGCTACGTAGTCATCTACGCGGATATATGTTAACGTTAACTTATAATTAAAAAGTTTTACCTAAAGTAGGCTCTATATTGTAATAATAAGGGTGGTAAGAACTAAAATGTTTTTATAAACAACTTCACATACAATCTAGGAAACAGATGGATTAATATTATCAAGAGAATATTTGCCCTATGAAATGGAAGCATCTAAACAGTCACGAATGCCACATATACAAAAATGGATTGCTGGAAAATGTTTACAGGTTAAAAAACAACATTTAATCTTCTATTGCGATCAAATAAAATTTTATTTCATAGAATTTGTTACAGGCAGGTAAGCCGTTTTATATATCCGGTGGTTTATTCGAAAACGCTCTCAAAAGCGGAAATTTCATTGATTGTGAAATATCAGACGTTACCAATGCACTTATAGATGGCGCTAGTGGCCTAATATTAAAGGATTGCTATGATACCGAATTCACAATAGAAGTTTTAAAAGGGTTAAATGAACTATGCTATACCGTTGAGCCATTGGTGATAAGTAAAACGAATTTTAGAAATGTAGTTGATAAGGTAATTGCTACTTTATTTTAAAAATAGCACAAAATACAACACCAATGTTGAATTCGTCCCAATTATAGAAAAGGAGGCAGTGGTAGCCCAGTGGCATCGCGCTCGCTTGGGAAACCAAGTGAAGCGGGTTCAAATCCCGGGTCTCGCACCTCTGATATTTTCACGTGCGAATCATTTCCAACATGATTACCATTTGTCTTAACTGTGAAAGAAAACATCGTGAGGAAACCTGCATGTCTGAGAGAACCTAGCAAGTTTTCGAAAGACATGTGAAGTCCACCAACCCGCACTTGGCCAGCGTGGTGGACTATGGCCTGATGCCCCTCGTACTGAAGGGAGGCCCGTGCCCAGCAGTGGAACGTTAAAAAGGGCTGAATACATAGAAAAGGATACTCAAATCTTTCCTTATTTAGGTCTCTATGGTGCAGAGAGTTTAAACTACATATAACATTATCACTGATAGATATGAAAATATTTATGGTTAAGTCGTAAATAATATCAAAGTTGGTTATATCGATTCCAAAAACTGTAATTATTTTAACTTTACGTTTTTCCTTGTACATTTTTTTAACAGTGTATTAGGAATATACAAAATTACCTGTAAATATTTGATCATAGATTCAAGTTCCTGTAAACGCAGCTGAGGCAACAGTTATATCGTGCGCGACCATCGCTAATCAGACTAACGCTCGAGTGATAATAGTGCCAACGGTTAGCGGCAAAACCATTAAATATCTACACTGGATGAGACCTTCCTGCATCATAATCACAGTCAGCACTGATATCAGAGTCATGCGTCTTTTACGAATTTACAGAAGTATCATGCCACTTATTTATTTCGGTATTAAATTATGTATGTTTATGAACTATTTATATATTCAACAGAAGTACAGAATATAGTAGAGTTTGATATTGATTCTTCGTAAATGCATTTTTTTTTCTTCATAATAATTGTTAATATACTGAAATCTAATTATTATTATTATCTAATCAGCGGGTAAAGTTATCTGTATCTATATTAAATTATAAAATAACTAAACATACGAACGATTCAATTTCATTATTTTGTTGATACAGCTGTACTTTGTTCCATATATAGCATTTATCTATACGTATAATCTAAGTCGAATCTGTACATTAAATATTTTTTAGAAAATCTTATTGAAATAGACACCAACAGTATCGACACAGAGGCCGAATATAGATTCGTTTCGTATTCGTAAGTTTTTGGAATTTTTGTCTGTCTGTCTTTGTCTGTCTGTGTGTCTGTCTGTCAGTGTCTGTCTGTGTGTCTGTTTGTGTGTCTGCCTGTCTGTCTGTGTGTCTGTCTGGCTGAACCGCTAGTATGTATGTTTATAAAATCAGATCCATGTGGAAATGTTGTTAAGTTATAACATTAATAAATAATTAGTAGGAAGTTAATTAAAGATAAGTTCAGAAAAAATTTAAACTTATTTTTTAATATAGCTGAACAACACAACAAATGGCATAAAAATATAACAGCGCGTATTTCCTTCGCTATCGAATATGCCGTTACAAGAAATTGGCTAGAGTACGGTGACACGTATGTGACTCTACAACGCGGGTCTGAATCAAGTCCCTTTTGTGATACCGTCAAGATTTGGAATGTCAGCATTAGCAAGAAACAATTGATTGAGTTAGTTTTACATTTTATCTATTCAATAACTTCACACGTAAAACCCTATAATCATCTTATCAAAATTCAATCTTTGGCCTTGGATTAGCCCTGATATAATTTTGAATGAAGTTATACTTCTTTTGACACGTTTGGAAAAAAATATGAGAGTAAAATTTTTACAATGCGCGCGCACATCGACAGCCAAAAAGCGACATGATGAAGTTAGCTGCTTTAGAAGTTAGCTTTTACAAACAGAGAGTTGTGACATACGGGATGAAATCTTTAACTATTTTTGTTCTGTGACGTCAAAGAAGTATAACTTCTTACGCGCGTACACACACGTTTTTTTATGTTGGGACATGAATACACAGCACCATCTAGTTTCATGATAAGCTACGAGGCTTGTGTTATGGATACCAAATAGTTGATACACTACACATATAAAACTTTAAATACATACATATTTTAAATACTAGCGGCTCACCCTCGCTTCGCTCGGGTTCGCCTCTAGAAAAACACTAATAAAAATCTATTAGTTCCCACGGGAACCGTTCATTTTTCCCGGAGAAAAGTAACCGGTTGTTTGACCGGCAATATAAGGTATCAGAATGTTAAATTTTACTAAATTAGGTGCATAAGTTGTATAAGTTATAATAGTTTTTAAACTATCCCACGGGAACCATTATATTTTACGGGATAAAAAATATCTAAGACGTTGTCCGGGGAGATAAGGTACCACCATGCAAAATTTCATTTAAATCGGTCCAATAGATTCGGAGATTAGCCCGTACAAACAGACAAACAGACAAACAATATCACACGGGAACGCAGTCGAACGGGATAAAAAGTATCCTATGTCCGTCTCTGGGTTCTAAGCTACCTCCCCGCTAATTTTCAGCCAAATCGGTTCAGCCGTTCTGGAGTTATAAATAGTGTAACTAACACAACTTTCTTTTATATATATATATAGATAGATAAACACCCATGACTGGAGTACAAACATTCGTGCTCATTACACAAAGGAATGCTCCCAGCGGGACTCGAACTGGCAGAACAAGTAGGGTCACTACAAACTAAGCCAGACGTGTCATCATCATATATACATATAATATTTTTAATTTTCAGATGTTCTGATGAGGATGAAACTGCTAAATTTTAGACGTTTTAAATTGAGTATAGCATCGTTATATTTAAATTATATCAACCCTTAGCATGCTTGTATCGCACTTATGTTTTCAAATTTAGTTCGCAATCACTATTATATAAATAACAATAAATTATTTATAAATTAGCCTTATATTGACAAGTAAAAGGAGGGCTCAAGTAATACGTTTATTACATTTTTTTCTTATAAACTACACAAGCTTTATTATAACCATAAAGAAACATGAAATTGTTCAAGTATAATATCAAAGCAATAAACAATATTTAGCTGAATAATTTTTAACGAAATTGTCCTAAAGGCATTTTGTTACTGGATGACTCCAACATAATTTTTTAACACCGCCATAATTGTTTGGGATCTTATCCGGAAAGGAAACCTAAATATGTATTTGATTTAAGATAAATAAATAAAATATAAATAAATATGTTGGGGAATTAACACAGCACCATCTAGTTCCATGGTAAGGTACGAGGCTTGTGTTATGGATACCAGATAGTTGATACATTATACATATATAACTTTAAATACATACATATTATAAATATAAACACCCATGACTGGACTACAAACATTCGTGCTCATCACACAAATGAATGCCCCCAGCAGGACTAGAACCCGCGACCGCTAGCACAGCAAGTAACATCACTACAAACTGAGTCATACGTGTCGTCACTCGACGTCGATAAAATTAAGTTTCATTTTGTTAAGTAGTTCTAAAGTAAGAATTTTACTTAAGAAATCCTCTAAGCTCTGTGCTGAATGGCATAAAGAAATGTACTACACACGAAAATACACGCTTGCTAAGAGTTGAAAGTACCTACTTATAAAATAGTATTTATATTATTGTATAAGTTCATAGTGTTACAAACATTTTATTATTGGCGGCGGTTTATATTTATTTTAAAAAAAATATTTTTAACTTTATTTTTTTTTAATTTCTACTATTTAATATATTACGAAAATATATTAGAGATAAAAAAAACTATAATATAGAAACTTATTTTGTTTTTTTTAATTTTTTATTCTTTTGCTACTTAATGTCATTTAATATCACGTAATAAAATGTTATATTAATTCAGATTGTTTTGTTTAATTATATATTGGAATAAAACTTTTTTTAACAATGGTTTGGCCAACGGAACACGATACGAAACTGGATGAGGTAAATATATAGCATATACGTATTATAATACACATACGTTTATTGTTTAGTCTTACTTATAGGGTATTATGTTTACCTTATACTAGCGACTCACCCTCGCTTCGCTAGGTACGTTATAACGGTTAGTATGAAATACAAATCTTTGAATTTCTTAGCCTTTTTGTACTATAATATGCATATATATTATACATATAAACCTTTCTCTTGAATCACTATCTATTGCTGAAAACTGCGTTAAAATCTGTTGAGTAGTTTAAAAGATCTAAGCGAACAGACAGCGGAAGCGACTTCATTTTATACTATGTAAAGATATTGTCTCAAATGCAAAAATTTACGTATCTATTCACTGAATAAAATGTAAATATTTTCTTTTCACAAGCAATGTAACATTTGTATCTCCATAATATGTACTATGAATATCTTTATTTAGTTAAAAAATATGTACTATATAATTAATAGAATATAATATTCATTTGTTAATGTAGAATCAATTATTATCTCTAAGAATATAATATTTAGTCAATATAATATTTGTATTTATAAAACTAAACTAGCGGCTCACCCTCGCTTTGCTCGGGTTCGTCGCTAGGTTCGTTTTAAATAGTTATTAGCCAATGTTAGCCATGTAAATTTTAATATTTTTTGTGATTTTTTTCGATGCTTTAATACTTATTATCCTATTCCGGACTAAGAGAAACCCAAAAAATCAAATATCATAAAAATTGGTCCAGCCGTTCATGAGTTATAAATGGTATAACTAACACGATTTTGTTTTATATATATATATATATATACATGTACTAATTAAGTAGTATTAAATATTTTCATAAATAGTAGTAACTGTTGGCATAATTTAAATGCTCAAGAGTGGAAATAAAATCATGTTGAAAAGACATGCAATATTAATATTCTTGATGATTTTTAAATATAAATAAAAACTTTTACTTACTACCTATCTTTTTAATATATAATAACTATCTTTTTAAGTACGATGCAATGGATCTTCCTGGACAGCAACTGCCCGCTTCATATGCGTATACTTCTTTAGACCATATTTTAAATCTTGACGTTAAAGCACCAGCTGCATGTCAGCGTTTGACTGGAATTATTGCAACCATGGGTATGACAACTTATTAAATGTATATACGGTAAACATAGAAAACTTCTTATTCTTATACTTAGTGATATTACAAGAGCAAAAGTGATTTTGTTCATTTTTTGTGGTTCCTTCGTTAATGCAGCAGAGAGCAACAAAGACTACGTTTTTCTGGATACATCAAGCGATACTCTTGCATGATGATATATGCATATATGTCTCTTACAAAAGTGACCTAAGGATTCATTCTCTAGTTTATTATGACAAGAGGTAAATGACATGCAGATACAAAAAAAGAGGGGCAATAAATGTGTCGAAAAACAATTTGAGTTTAGCTTGTTGATATTTCTTTATTTAACCAAGCACAAATTAGCTGACTAGTAGGTATAACCGTGTAAGAGTTCCTAAAAACTAAAAATTTCACCTCAACAAATAATTATAAAGTAAAATATATGATTATAGATGTTATTTTCCTAATCTACAATCGAAATTGAAAATAAATTAGTCTGTCATTATGTACTGGGAAATATGATATTGATTTTTTTAGGACTCGCATGTCTTATTAAGGTGATACCAGTCAAGTCTAAAAGCCATCTCCCGAATGTCATATAAAAGGACATACTATATAGTATATGTATATACTATATTTGGGAACGTCCTACCCGCATCTTATCCCGCACACCTCTCACGATTGTTTTGTCTAGACGTCTCCGTTATACATCTCTGTTTATTACTAGGCTCTGTAAATATTTATTACACAATTAAGTTGTAACATTGCATAAGAATAATTTTGATTTTTGTGCCTTTATAGTGATATTTTATAATGATATGGCAAAAATAATTCTACACACCTTTTATTTAGTTCTTGTAGCTTTTCAATGAATAATCGCACTGTTACAGTGTATAGTTAACTTTATAGTACCTAGTAGTACTAATAGATACATTGAATATTTTAAGGCAAATCAACAAACGACATCGATATAATGGAAAAAATGATGTCGGCTGGTATGAATATTGCTTTATTGAACTTATCATTCGGTAACAGAGAGGTGCTTGTAGAGACTATTAAAATGCTTCGTGAAGCTGCCAAAAATTTAAGTATCAAATTGGAGAAAAACTATCCCTTAGCTATAGCTGCAAAATTACCGGGAAAGAAAATCCGAACCGGCTGTATTGCTGAAGTAAATTTCATATTTCTTTTCTATGTCATGCATATTATCATAAATATTATTTGCTGCATATTGGAAAATGAACGATATTAGCAACATATTTATTTATTCCTTTAAACGATACTAGGTTTTAAAAATTACGACATACGCAATCAAGCAACAACAATTAATCTAAACTCACGAATCCAGTAGAAACAAGATAATTAGCATTCTAATTATTATTAGTGTATATAAAAGATGCAAACTTTGTTTGAGTATTAAGGAGTCACAAAGTTTCAAAGTACAGTTTTGATGGTTTCCGTTGAATTGCAGTCGTATGGCGGTACGGTGGAACTTATCGCAGGCGAAGTAGTCCGCTTAACAACAGACGAAACCTATAAAGACAGGTGTTCAACTTACACCGTGTATGTTGACTTCATTCACTTTGCCGAACAAATGAGCAAGGGTAATTACGTTTTGTTAGACAATGAGACTATTCAGCTTAAAGTTGAAATGATATCCTCAACGACCTTAACATGCAAAATTGAAAGAGGAGGACTACTTGGATCCAACAAAGATGTCTTTGTGCCCAACGTAAATTTTGATATGCCAAACTATAGTGAGACTGACAAAATGTTTATAAATATGGCTGTGCAAAATCAGGTATGTACAAAGTTTGTAAATTAAAAATTTCAAAACTGCAGTTTAGCATATGTGACGCGGCCCCTGGAGGAGTGGGTGGAGGAGTGGTTTTTGGAAAGGGGAGGTGATAGGGAGTCCAAATATGTAAAAAAATATTTTGAAGAAACGAAGGATTTAAAAGGTATTTGGACTCCCTATCACTTCCCTTATCCAAAAATACCACCCCCTCCTCCAGGAGCCGCGTCCCATATACTAAACTTGTGCTAATTTTATATTTATAATAAAAAATATTAATGTGTTTCACAGTTATTTTTATATATTTATCACGACATTTGTCTTATTAAAAATGAAAAGTCCAAATGTCAAAGTAATTTATGTAAAAGTTACGTAATTCTTCTTAAAGCTGGACATTTCGCAATTACAGAAATGAGAGATCCTTACACAAAAAATTAGTTAATGTAATAAACTGTCAGTTCTTTTCAGTTGGACATTCTTGTCGCGTCGTTCGTAAACTCGGCTAATGCTATTACCGAGCTCAGGCATTTAATGGGAGAGAAGGGAAAGAAAATAGCTATTGTCGCCAACATACAAACTGTCGAAGGTTTTCGCAACTTCGATGACATTCTGTCAGTAAGTGCTACGTTATGTTGTTTCGAAGTTCCAACGCTTTCGATACCGATTGAACAAAGAAGTAGTATCTTTAATCTTCTCTGACCTTTATACTACAATATAGTTTTTAGTGTATTCTTACCCCCGGTAACGGTCTTTAAGCTTCCATTATTTAAAAAAATATATAGGTTAAGAGTTACGGTCTATATTTAGAAATGGAAATTTTAAAGCTGGCCGACATGAGTTAGATAAATAAACAAGCTAAATAAATATTTGTACGCGCCGTACAAATATTAATTTTTAGTAGCAATTGATAGTGTTTGAAGCTTCGTTGATGTAGTGGCTGGCATTCATATAGCCACAAATCATGAGGTTCTGAGTTCGAGTCCCTGGCCAAGCCTAATTAATAATTAGGAATTTTATTACTGATTATTCTCACGGGTAGCTGGTTATTCTTAGTGAGATATTCCACTATAACCGAACTTAATTAACTATGGATATGATTTGAAATCTTTATCCAGTATGTATTTTGTCATACTATAAGATTATTATAAATATTGCAAAAACAGCGTTAAAAATTATTAAGTCGTCTTTTATAATAATTATAATTGATCTTAGTTTTCTAAGACATTAAATACATCTACGAGTAGATTAGTTTCATTGTATATACATAGTTTTAAGCTACGTTAAGGGTGAAGTATGAATAAAGCAAAGATGTTAACACTTACTTACAATTGATTAATTCGTTTTAGAGAATATAGATGATAATTAACAACTTCCCATTATTTATAATATTATACAGGGTTATTTTTAATTTACTGAAAACCTTTTGGGAATATACTTACTATTTACATCATAACAACAACATCTGTAAGAAAAAAAATATATTATAAATTATAATTTATTAAATATAATAATTTTACAAAAATAAAAATATTTTTAATAGCAAAAGAAAGTGCGTGTCCGGTGGAGGGGGAGGGGTGGAGGGGTGGAGAGGTGTAGGAAACCGCGCTTACTCATTTAAACTTGGCCAGATGCTTGAATTTTACCATTTAGGAGGTGCAATAATTTTTTTTTATTTTTATATGAAAATAAAAATTGGAGAAATATTATTTTTTCTTGTTACAGGTGTTGTTGTTATGATGTAAATGGTATATTCCCAAAAGGTTTTCAGTAAATTAAAAATGACCCTGTATATACTATATTTGTATTAGAAGTTACTATTTCTGCAATTAAAATTATAATTTGTTGCAGATTGCTAATGGCATTATGTTTACGCGACAAGAGCTAGGATCGGATATAACGCCTAAAAAATTAGTAATAGCTCAAAAAAATATAATTGCGAGAGCTAATAAGGTTGGTATAAATAAATATTGTGTTACTGTCTGTTATAGATATATATACATAGATGGTGCAACGTAAATGCCTAATGTAACAAGTATATTTATTTCAAATCTATACATATATAAAATTGTAACTAAGCCGAATCTGTATATTAAATAATTTTTGGAAAATCTTATTGAAATAAACATTATTGTCGATACAGAGGCCGAATCTATACTTTTTAGAATTTTTGTCTGTCTGTTACCGCATTACAGAAAAACCACTGGAGGGATTTTGATCAAATTTGGTATGGTGATAGCTGGTTATCCGGGTCAACATATGGGATACTTTTTACCGCGGGAAAATATCTCATTTCTGAGAAAACATACAAAAACTACAATGTAAGAGTATACTAATATGTAAAACTTAAGAATTTGGCTTTTGGCGATCTGAACGCGGGCGGAGCCGCGGGCAATGTTAGGCATTAATATTTTTTTAAATAAAGAGGTAAAATAAGTTTACATAGAAGGTAAACTACGATCCTAAAATTCTTCCAATAACATAAGGTACGCTATCCCTGAGGACGCTAAGTTCATTCATCCCAGCATATCAAATTAATTCTGTGGAATATTATAGCAAAAGGTTTTAAGCATTGCTAGCAAAACCTAGATAGTAAAATATAAGGATTTTTTAAACATAACTAACGACTTGCCCCAGATCATTAGGTTCCTATTTTAATTTGACACCAAAAATATAATCGCCCTGACCAATTTTGTGACACTTAATTTGATAAGATATTTCGTGTACAATTTTAAAAATCACTGAAATACCAAGAATCACATCAAGTTTCTTGTAAACTTTGCCAGACGATATTTTCGATTTAAATATTGCCATTTTGTTAAACTCCCATAATATAATTAAACAAATCAAAAAATCTTTTTTTAGTGTATCTATATCATAAGCGGTATTTTTACAACCTGCCAAGTTCTGTTGGTAGGTTTTTTTATACACGTTGATGATTCACTCAAGTCTGTCCGGGCTTGTAACTTTATTTCTATATAGGCTACGTAGATGGCGCTAGTAGTATTCTACATCGCGCTATAGTTTGGTTCAATCGAAATGTATAAGACATTCTAAGAAACAGTTAACAATTGCCATCAGGAGGGTCTTAACTGACTCGACTGAACAGCGAGTGATGAGTACGGAGATGATCTCGATGATTAAATTCCGCTCTCTCGTGTCTCAACTATTGTAACAGTTGAATATCTGACGCTGTTTTTGGCCTTATTTATTAAATCTATATAGAAACATAAATTGTAGTGTCTATTTGTAATGTCAAAATAACAGGTTTTTACTAAATACATATGAAATTATATAATTATACGGTAGGTATTTATAGGATAAACACTCTTTATTTTTATTTAATTTTTGTCTGTGTCTGTTTGTTTCGGGCTCCGGCTAATCTCCGAATCGGCTGGACTGATTTTGACAGGACTTTCACTGGCAGATAGCTAATGTTATATAAGAAGAAGAGATGACAAAATAATGGTATTGATATTTATGCTCTTCAACTAAATTCATTTAATTTACAAATAATATTCAAATATGTAGTTTTCGAAGTTAAAAATGACCAAGTGACAGAATTCGGCAAGGCAAGCCATGGCAAAATACTAGTATGAGAGGAATGGACAAATAAAAACTATCTATTAAATTATATCCATTCCAAGCTTCTTTATAGAATAACTTATATAATTATTATAGTAAAAATATTCAACGAATTTGCGTATGCGGAATGCGTTTTATCTACCCTACATATTGTTAATAAATCATTTGATCTATACGAAATTATTTACAATTATTTACTTATAAATGATCACCAAATTTCTATAATCTCACTGCTGACACGTATCTCTAATTCACAAGAACTTCCAAATCAGCTTTATTATTTTCTAATTATATTTAATATTAAAATTATTTCGTTTACTACATAATATGTATTATTTATTATATAATATTTATTATAAAAAGCCAAAGCGCTCGGCAAAGCCACAGCGCTTGTTACGAAAACGGCTACCTGTGTACATAAGATACGAAATGTCCCTGTGGAATATCTGAATACAGTCTGACGGGTTTATGCAGTTAGTTACAAGAATGTTTCATATTTCCAATTTTTAGCTTTAACCTTGAAATGAAAATCTTAACTTTAACGTAAAAAATACTCTCAACGTTCTTTCTTATACTTTATATGCATGAGCAAGCATAATGTATGACAATCTATACATATCATACAATTATAACTAAACCGAATCTGTACATTAAATAATTTTTGGAAAATCTTATTGAAATAGACATCATTATCGATACAGAGGCCGAATCTAAAGTTTTTAGAGTTTTTGTTTGTCTGTCTGTCTGTTACCGTATCACGGAAAAACCACTGGACGGATTTTGATGAAATTTGGTATCCGGGTCAACATATAGGATACTTTTTACTACGGGAAAATATCTCTGAGAAATCTATACTAAACGTTAAAACGTAAATAGGGACGAGCCCGAGTTGAGCGAGGGTGCGTCGCTAGTTTTAATATAAATTGTATTCTTATAGATATTATTTTCTATTAATCCATGTGATTTTATATTTAATCCATGAGTAAAAATGTGTTTTAATATCGTTATTACAGGCCAACGTACCAATTTGTGTAAGCGCTCATCTTTTAAGCAATATGCGTTATAATGAAATTCCACTTAGATCTGAATTACTTGATATTGCTAACTGTGTCCTTGACGGTGCCGATGCCCTCGTGCTATCAGCCGAAACTGCAGTAGGTCTACATCCAGTGGAGACTGTTGCATGCATGGCCTCCACGTGCAAGGAAGCAGAAGCGTGTATGTGGACCAAACAAGTCTTTTACGACTTCATTGATAAGGTATTGTTTGCATAATTGTCAGAAATTAAATACTTAGGATGTTTTCTCAATTTAGTTGTCTTGTAATAAGTTTACAGCGTCCAGTTGCGCATAATTTTCCTGACTTGCTTAAGGTAGAGGAACAATCGAGTTTTGGGTCATTTTCTTCTATATCAATCATTTTATCTTTCTTAAATTGTGACTAAAAGTTGCCCTAAGCTGAAGCTGAGGTATAAAGCTAATTTTTGGTATAGGTTTTAATTAGCACATTGTAGGCGATAAATATCGAATTGACTAACAGCTTTCGTCTAACTGTATAGAAGTTATGTCTATTTATCACTAATCGCCGTTCTATTTCCACATTGTGAAGACAAATTTGCCATGTGACCAAATAACTGGGACCGCTCTCGCTGCGGCGATGGCGGCGCATCGATCTTTGGCCGCGGCAATTATCGTAGTGACTACGTCCGGGAAATCAGCTCAAGTCATAGCCAAGTACAGACCTCGGTGTCCAATCATCGCACTTACCAGATACGGGGCAATAGCTCGCCAGCTTCATCTGTGGAGGGGCATCATTCCTTTAATCTATGAATGTTAGTAAGCAGTATTTTATCTTAGTCCGTTTCATAACATTTCACCTAAAACATAAGGTAAAACAGAGCGTTGAAATATAACATCTGGAATCAATGTCGTTAGTTTTAATAATTTACTTAGACATTATATAAGTCCAATATAGAAATTATATTAAAATCTTTGATGATTGGGATAGTCCTGAAAAAATCTTAAAAATATAATTGTGTGAAATTAAATTAGTTTTAATAATAATAAAATATTATCAGCTTTTTTGTTTTTTAATAATAAAATGTAACATTTAAATATGTATGTAGGTACTTCTTAATAAATACATACATATATTACTATAATAACAATGCTATAAGTTCATTATGATATATTACAGCCGAACCGGCTATGGACTGGCAGACGGACCTACAAAGCCGCGTCAATTTTTGCACTAAGTGGGCGATGGAGCAAGGATTTATTAGAATCGGAGATCCTATAATATTGGTTTCCGGTTGGAGACAAGGATCCGGTTTCACAAACACCATGAGGTTTATTTACGCCACTGCAGACATGGCTAATTAATAATAATGTTTTATATTATTTTATCGCTTTTAATATATCTTGTATATTATGATGTTTGCTTATTATCATAGAGATTTATTGATTATAATTTATTAATATGATTTTATAGATTGTGTTTTTTTCTTCTCCTATTATACTATTTACGTGCTTTAAACCATCTAAGGATATTTTTCTTCATTCTTATACGATTAATACGCGATGAGTAAAATCTATATTTTTGCTAAAACCCAACGATATCCGCATTAAAATCACTGTAAAACAAAGTCTTTTGAATTTAAAAAATATATAATATTCAATTCTTTCTTAATGAAATTACACATTACTCAGATTTATGGTGCTTTTACATCTACTAAAAATATGTTTAAAGTTCGCCAATTTGTAAGCTCAACGTAAACGGCGTGTAGAGCGCTATATTAAACTTTGTAATTAAATAACTCTTCAATAAAAAAAAACAAAAACCCCCTACGCAAATTAATTGTCATTTACCGATTACACTCGCACGCGTGAAGCACTTAATCGAGTAATCAAACGCCAAAATGCCTTACATCATTTTGGAAAAGTGCTGATACTCTTACACTGCTGGACCGATTTTAACTAAATATAGCTAAGAACCACCGCAAGGAAACTGGCTTTCAAATGAAAAAAACCGCATCGAAATCGGTCCACCTGTTTGAGAGCTACGACGCCACAGACAGACATCGACGACAAACTTATAACACCTCTCTTTTTACGTCGGGAGTTAAAAATAAAGCTCTTGAAATAGTAATCGTGGTAATACATTTAAAAATTAACCGATTTCTCGAGAGATGGTTGTCTTAATTGCAATTCTCAGCGGTGCGCTTTGACCTAGATATTTATCATAGCATCTAAATCAGATTATACTTACGAACTAAATCCAAATAATGTGATTCGAAACTGCGTCACGAAACGGTTAGGTGACGGAATAGCAGTGATCGGCATCAAAGGGCTAACTCTGCTTACTGGTCGGCGAGGCAATTTGCAGAGCTCTCTGAGGTGTTCAAATTGAATTTATGTAACCTCGCCTTCACACTAACCACATACTGCCGTACCTACTCTATCTCATGAAATTCATCTTTTATTAAAATGAAACAAGATGAAACTTTATTTAAGTGTATGTACTACAAATATTTTCTTACAAAAATAATATTAGAGACGGCAGCCCAAAAATGAGCTAACTCATAAATTTTCAAGAGATATAACTGTATAAATATTTTAAATTTGGCGAAATCTATCTTTAAAACAAGTTTAAAATTCTAAGTTTTTTACATATTAAGGTTTGAAAACCAAGAATACCTGAATGGCACTGTGTCATAGATATTATGCACCAAAAAAATGAGACTTTTGCCGTTAATCTAAAGTAATGTGAATTTGTGATCTTTAATATTTACAGTATTTTCCTTAGTAATTTTTGATGTAAAATACGAGTTCGCTTCCGAATAGAAAATTAAAATTGAGTTGCCTTTTTCATTGCTTCGTGTTCATTTACAATTAAAAATGTTGCCATCAGAATATGCAAATTTCGTGTAGCAGAAAAAATGATACAAATAATTACTATTTGAAAATCTGATGACTAGGATTATATCTTTTAAGACTAAATTTTTCAAATATTTGCCAAAACTAGCTCTTGGTCCGTTGTTATTATAATTTTATTCGTTTCCTGCTGTATATTTTCGAATATCCTAACTTTATACGGACATGGCAAATGTTGAGTGTGTTTCTTTAACAGAGGATTCAATACAATATGAATAATAATCTATAGGTAAATATAATAAAATTGTAACTAAGCCGATTCTGTACATTAAATATTTTTTTGAAAATCTTATTGAAATAAACATTATTATCGATACAGAGGCTGAATCAATAGTTTTTAGAATTTTTGTCTGTCTGTCTGTCTGTTACCGCATCACAGAAAAACTACTGAAGGGATTTTGATGAATTTTGGTATAGTAATAACTGGTTATCTGGGTCAACATATAGGATACTTTTTACTGCAAGAAAATATCTCATTTTTAAGAAAAAATACAAAAACTGCAATGTAAGAGTATACTTATATGTAAAACCTTTTGGTTTTTGGTCATCTGAACGCGGGCGGAGCCGCGGGCAATGCTAGTTTAACTATAAAACTTTATTTCCTTCGTACCTGTATGTCAGTCGATATTGCCGGGCGCCCATAAACGACCGTCGGCCCGCGCCAAAAGGTATCGTCGCGTCGCCATTGCGGCTTCATCCGATAGACGATTTAAGGCTTTGCTTAGAAATTCTCTTTGCTCATGTTTTGCATACTACGTCAAAATTGTTCTTGGAATTTTTATTAGAATCTATCTCCTGAGAAGATGAAATTTTAAATACCTTTCGCAAGTTTGACGTAGACAAGACGTAAATGATTTTCGTACCATCGTACGAAAATCATTTACGTCAGGTTTCATATTCAAAAAGTGCATTGTTAATACTATTTTCATGAAAACATGTATTTAAATAATCTTAATAATAATTATTGTAATAATAGTTTTCAAATGTTAAAATGTTATAATTTTTTTGTACTAGCGACTAGCTCCCGTTTCGCTCGGGCGCGTCCGTCACGTTTTAAATAGATAAAAATAGTCATTGTGAGTGTACCTTAGAAGATAGACAATGCTATTAGGTAACTTTCTATATGCCTTTTTGAAGGTTTTACCTTTAATTTTCTAATACAAAATATATACAAATTATATTGTGTATATTTTACTTTTCTCGTTTATCATTCTTTGTGTTTAACGTTATAACGCGTTTGCGTCATTTAAAAGAAGTAAGTGAAGAAACAGACAGAAGTGGAGAGCGATTTTGTTTTATAGTATGTATAGATTATGTATGTATAATTTATATGTAGATGAGCGACTTGCGCCCCAACTGAATATATTGTGTTTTGTCATGAAAATGAGAGATTTTACCGCACTAAATTGCTACATATGTTCATTTTCAACACTGCACCTAATATATTTTGCTGTATTTTTGGAAGAATGTCCACCTATTCGGTCGAACCAGTTATTGTATTTTTCCGTAGGAATAACAGATTTTCCTGTAGTAAAAGGTATCCTATTTTTCAACTCGAGTAATAAGTTATTACTACAGAAAATTTACTTAAAATCCGTTCAGTACTTTTGCGTGAAATGCACATAAACAGACAAACAGACATACATACAAAAATTTCAACAATTGTATTGGAGTCTATATTTTATACATAATACATAATTAATAATGTTATATGGGCTACTGAGGGTGAGACCCTTAATAAGATATTATACTCTTTATAAAATAAAACATGGTTATATTAAAAAAGATAAACACATTATAACGTAGAGTAAATGAATAAATAATAGAAGTACTATAATGCAGCTATTTTGTGACAAAGGTGAGATGCAGTCTGCAGGAACAAATCGGCTCGAACGGATGCAATTACACCAGTTACCGTGCTACAGCTGCCGGACTGTGTGAATAGGGCAGGGCTGTCAGTGAATTTCTGAAAGTTTTCTTATTGTCACATTCTGTTATAAATGAAGTTTTGTGTCAATATAACTGTACTCTTTTCATTTCATTTTATATGCCTTTATTGAATGTGTAGTATTTAGCGCTGGATTTACACTAGGGGCACTCGGGGCTAGTGCCGTGGGCGGCAAAGTTTTAAGGGTGGCAAAATTCGGAGAGTGGGAAAAAAATTCTCTTCACGTTATCGAAAACGCTTTCTGTATTTTCCAAAAAATGATTGATTAAAAAAATATATTTTATATTAAATTATTTATTTGCATTTTATAAAAATAAACTTTATCAAAACTACCCATTTGATATTTTATGCAAAATTTCAATAATAGGGCCGCATTTTTTACTATACACAGGGGCGGCGCTAAGGTTGAATCCGGCCCCGTTAATATTAATAACGTAAAAGACAAGGCATGCCTTTTCCTAAAAAGAAGTTTCTTTAGGATTGGAAATATAAAAGAAAACACTTTAAAACCATTTTTTGCAACTTCAATTAAAGTTATTATGAATAATAAAATATAGCAAATACATTATTATCAATATAAAAATAGCCTTTAGCACTCGGCTGTAATATAGCTTCTTATTAGTTAAAAAAAATTCAGAAACTTATAGAATGACTTACGAAGAAAAAGAATAACTCGACTTTTTGTTTTTTTTTTAATTTTGCAAAAAAATATTGTTTACCACTAAGAAAAATTAAGGTTAAAAACCATATATAAAAGGCCTTATGAAATACCAAGTTATTAGTACCTTTCGCTTCACCTAGATTAGTTCTCTTATCTTCACCTAGTTTTTTTATTTCTTCTATTAAACATTTTGCGTGCATGGTATTATATTTTCAAGAGTCAATCTTTTACGCTTTTTTTAGTTTTTAATAAGAATTATTATCGAAAATAGAAAATAATAAAATAATCCTCAGTCATTTTAGTGATTTATAAACCATATGAACAAAACCCTTTAGGAATCAAGAAACTTTTCTAATTTTCTAGACAAATTATAAAAAATCTGAGGTGCAAATTGCAGGATACGGGGTTTAAATGAATGAACCAGTTATTTTGCTGCAGTCGCCGAACTGATGAAAGTAGGGGAGCCATACTAGTAATTGTAAAACAAGACAATAATTGTTACTTATATGTAGTTACATTTTTTAATGTTTTAATATTATTTCTTCGTAATTAATATAATAAATAATTGTTTGACCATATGTATGAATAACATTGCCTCATTAATAACTGAAAAAAGTAAATAAGGCGTTATGCCGAAATTAAAATTTCATTAATAATATTCTTTGGTTTAAAAGTGTAACAAAAATACTTGTCGCTAATCATAATATTTATCAAAGTAAATAAATTAACCATTTAAAGAATATAGAAACTTTAGGTATATTTATTTAAAGGAGGATAGTTTTAGAGCTTTCCGAAAATTTGTCCTTATCATTCAAGTTGATTTATTGACTGTTTGAT